TTTTATAGGATATACTCCATTTTGTTTGCTTCCCAGTTCTTTCCATGCTTTACAATCANTTGGGATTACACATTCTAAAGGAAGAGAAGAGAGAAAATCACAAATAAAGACAGAATAGATTTTAAGTATACCATAACTTTAGAAATGGTATCTAGTTTACTAGTCAGTACCTGGTGTAGCATTAACACTAGTGTTAGTGATGGTAACAACTGGAGAAGTTGTCTCCTTCTCATTCTCAGGACAGTTTCCATTAACAGTATTAATAATAACAATTATTATCATTAAACTGTACATCAGTTTAGTAGCAATCATGATACTAAAGATCCTTTAGCTTCAATAAATTAAAATTAAAAGAGAGTAGAAGTGAGGTAGAGAGAGAGGGACAGTGTCCTTCTTTTATAATGAGTGAGTCCTTCCCAATGATTGTGGGAGTATGCATAGTATTAGAAGAATGAGGCTCCACCCCTCAACACGCCCTGACGTACATGTACATACAAACAAATGTGATAGTAATCAAATGTCAAGTTATTATATTATTAATAAATAAATAGTTCATTAATGACAAGCTTCACATGATTATTAATTCATGAAATGCTTTGTATCACTTATTTCTAACACTAATTATTTATTGTTCTTAATTGTTGTGACTGTAGTGACTGTACATTGTATGATACTCATATTATCAATATTCATGTACTGTAATAGTAATATCTCATTGTGTTTTTACTAATAATAGTGATACCATTTGTGGAGGAGTATTGTTGTTTTAAGATTGGACCATAATGTTTCAATTGTCATATTAATGTATTATTATTTCTGTCAGCAATTTTTAATTATCAATTATTTAAGTAATGTTTGGGTTGTAGTAGGAATAATTTTTGTATTCCATGTTTGTTGGGATTTCCTGAACTTTTTACCAAGTTATTTTTATTGTTACTCTATGTTCATTTATAACAATTTGCAGCTTATAAATTTATTATAATTAGCAAAAGTTACAACAAGGTTTGACAATCAGCTTATTGAGATGACATAATAATATATCAGCACAATGTAAACACACTTATGTGTGTGGGGGACAGTATTTAATTGTTATGACGAGTTTTCATCTCTGAGAACTTTAGGCTAATGTTTGCATTTTTCCAAGTGTACCAATTAATTCCTTGAGGATTATTAGTTGAAGTTTTATAATAAAAACCATTAAGATTTGAATGATGGCAATTATTATACCACCAGCCACCAATGTGGGATTTAGCACAATTACCTCCGTAACGATCATTATCATTATCTCTTGTACTGAATCTAAATCCATTATGATTCCAGGCCAGACTATCCCCAGCAGTACCAGAGTATCCTCCTACTGTTAGTATATATTCAGTACTGCCATCACTAACACTGAATGTAGAGTAGTTAGCATAAGCTGTGTCATTATTAAAATCTCCCAAGTCCACTCTTAGTGTGTTTGATCCTTCTTTAGTTAGACGGTGAATCTTGCTCAATCCTAACCAAAACTCACCAGTAAGGTCACCAAATCCATTCTCATAGTCAGTCCAGTTCCTATAGAAATCAACAGATCCATCTTGTCTCCTCTGAAATACAGTCCATCCACCACCATCAGTCTCCATATCACAGTATACCTGTGATCCAATAGTGTATAATTATAAAGTACAATACAATTAAACATTACTTGGAAAGCTGGTCCATCATCTGGTTTTATAGGATATACTCCATTTTGTTTGCTTCCCAGTTCTTTCCATGCTTTACAATCAGTTGGCATTACACATTCTAAAGGAAGAGAAGAGAGAAAATCATAAATGGAATTAGAATAGTATAGAATAATCTTAAAAGTAACCATAACTTTAGAAATGGTATCTATTGATTCTAGTCAGTACCTGGTGTAGCATTAACACTAGTGTTAGTGATGGTAACAACTGGAGAAGTTTCCTTCTCATTCTCAGGACAGTTTCCATTGACAGTATTAATAATAACAATTATTATCATTAAACTGTGCATCAGTTTAGTAGCAATCATGATACTAAAGATCCTTTAGCTTCAATAAAGTAAAATTAAAAGAGAGTAGAAGTGAGGTAGAGAGAGAGGGACAGTGTCCTTCTTTTATAATGAGTGAGTCCTTCCCAATGATTGTGGGAGTATGGATATGTAATAGTATTAGAAGAATGAGGCTCCACCCCTCAACACGCCCTGACGTACATGTACATGTACATACAAACTGAAATTATAATAGTTTAATTAATAATTAACTAACTGAATATGATTACAGTTTAATAAGTCATAAACATACAGTGTGAACTGTAACACTGATTTCTGATACTAATTATTATTTATTGTTCTTCATTGTTGTACATTATTAATCATGATAATAAATTGACCAATATACCGTATAGGGGTTATATTGCACTGGAAATAAATTTCGCTAATTTAGTGTTTTCATTAATTTGTGAAATTTAATTCCACAAAAGAGGTGTGGCACACTAGGAAAAATGGCCGCAGAAATTAAGATTTGCGGAAATTTATACCAACAAAGAACCCCTATTCGGAAATGTACTGTAATTGTAGCTGTAATGTTAATACTAATGTATTGCACTGTAATAGTAACAATAATATCAACTGTATTTTACAATAGTAATATTTATTGACCCCATCTCGTGTGGAGGAGTATTGTTAGGTTAAGATTAAATCATAATGTTTCAATTGTTGTATAATTGTGTTTTTATTTATTTTTCTCAACATTTCTTGATTATTTAATACTTATTAATGTTTGGGTTGTAGTAGGAAGTGACTTTATAATTAATTTTGTCAGATTTTTAATTTTAGCCAAATTATTTTAATTGTTAACTTTTTGTTAATGCTTTTATTTTGTGTTTTTGTCGCAAGTTATTCCGTTATAACAATTTGCAGCTTATAAATTTATTATAATTAATAAAAGTCAGCAAAAATTACTACAAGGTATGGCAGCTTATTGAAATGGCATAATAATATATCAGCACAATGTAAACACACTTATGTGTGTGGGGGATAGTATTTAATTGTTACGACGAGTTTTCATCTCTGAGAACTTGAGGCTAATTTGTGCATTTGTCCACTTATACCAAACAATTCCTTCTTGATTTGTAATTGCACTATGAAAATAACGACCATTAAGATTTGAATAATAACAGGCATTATGCCACCAGGCACCAGCAACCCATTCAGCACAGTTTTCTGACCGTTGATCGTTATCATTATCTCTTGTACTGAATCTCATTCCATTATGATAGGCCAGACTATCCGTAGCAGTACCAGAGTATCCTCCTACTGTTAGTATATATTCAGTACTACCATCACCAACACTGAATGTAGAGTAGTTAGCATAAACTGTATTCCCTGCAAAATTTTTTAGGTCCACTCTTAGTGTGTTTGATCCTTCTTTAGTGAGACGATGAATCTTGCTCAATCCTAACCAAAGCTCACCAGTAAGGTCACCAAATCCATTCTCATAGTCAGTCCAGTTCCTATAGAAATCAACAGATCCATCTTGTCTCCTCTGAAATACAGTCCATCCACCACCATCAGTCTCCATATCACAGTATACCTGTGATCCAATAGTGTATAATTATAATTTTATAATACAATTAAATATTACTTGGAAAGCTGGTCCTTTATCTGGTTTTATAGGATATACTCCATTTTGTTTGCCTCCCAGTTCTTTCCATGCTTTACAATCAGTTGGCATTACACATTCTAAAGGAAGAGAAGAGAGAAAATATTAGAATAGTGTAGAATATCTTTAAACTAGCTATAGCTTTAGAATTGGTATCTATTGATTCTAGTCAGTACCTGGTGTAGCATTAACACTAGTGTTAGTGATAGTAACAACTGGAGAAGCTGTCTCCTTCTCATCATCAGGACAGTTTCCATTGGCAGTATTAATAATAACAATTATTATCATTAAACTGTACATCAGTTTAGTAGCAATCATGATACTAAAGATCCTTTAGCTTCAATAAAGTAATATTAAAAGAGAGTAAAAGTGAGGTAGAGAGAGAGGGACAGTGTCCTTCTTTTATAATGAGTGAGTCCTTCCCAATGATTGTGGGAGTATGCATAGTATTAGAAGAATGAGGCTCCACCCCTCAACACGCCCTAACGTACATGTACATGTACATACAAACAGATGTAATAGTAATCAAATGTCAAGTTATTATATTATTAATAAATAAATAGTTCATTAATGAGAAGCTTCACATGATTATTAAGTCATGAAATGCTATGTATCACTTATTTCTAACACTAATTATTTATTGTTCTTAATTGTTGTGACTGTAGTGACTGTACATTGTATGATACTCATATTATCAATATTCATGTACTGTAATAGTAATATCTGATTGTGTTTTTACTAATAATAGTGATACCATTTGTGGAGGAGTATTGTTGTTTTAAGATTGGACCGTAATGTTTCAATTGTCATATAAATGTACTTTTATTTCCATCAGCAAATTTTCATTATCAATTACTTAAAAGTGATTTATAGGTTGTAGTAGGAATAAGTTTTATTGTTAGTTTTTGTTGGCATTTCCTGAGATTTTTACCAAATTATTTTTATCGTAGCTTTTTTGTATTGCTCTAATTGTGTGTGTTTGTTGCAAGTAGTTATCTCTTTATAACAGTTTGCAGCAAATAAATTTATTGTAAATAATGAAAGT